GGCTCTCCACAGTTGAACAGTTCTTATTTTTCTTATCAGGAGACACAGAAAGACACAGTTGCTCTCAACCCTTGTATTCGTGCCACGTGAATATTAAAATTCTTGATGAATTGTGGAAAATAATTGTAAAAAGGCTCAATTTATTGAACAATCAGTAAAACCACGTTCTTCTCATATTTTAGTCGTTAGAGCAGTAATTCCACCRCTGTGTCTGAATGCAAACTGTTACATCCTTGATGTTTCAGCTTAATTTAACCGTAAGCCTTTGCTATGAATTATTCACTGTGTAAGTTTTGGYGTTTTACACCCAGAAAGTCAAATATTTTTTCTTGTCTTCTCTTCCAGATATTTCCAGAATATCTTACTATGCTGGTGAGTACACATTTCAATGTGATTTCTTTTGCCTTTGTTTTTACTTTAATTATGCATACATTTTGTCCCAAGCTGTGATTTGATTTGTGTATTCTGAGTATGTTTGGACAGTGTTTGGACAGCAATATGCTCATTTTAGTACCTAATATTATACTCTAATATGCTCTAAAGCTATTAGAGTCTCCTTGTTTTGTTTCATCAAAGAATATTACATTTTTGTGCTGTTCTAAATGAGAGCTGGTCTCACTCTGGCCTGAAGTGGATCGAGGTTCTGCATTAATTTAGGAGTTGTAGATAAGCCTCTCTTATGGCCCTTAGCTCAGATTGTTCTTTTAGGTTGTTGCTAGGTAACCAGTGGTCCTACAGCACATCTTCGATCAGGATATTTGGAGCTGGGAACACATCATTCCTAAAAAAAAAAMAAMAACATTCTTGACATCTTYCCAGTGATGTGATGCTRCAGATATACYGGTAGTTACCCGATTGAAACTTTAARCGAGGTGAAACTTCTTAATTTAGTTCTTCATGTACAGTATATGATTAAAAGAATTAAACAGTTTCTCTGTAATTTAGCAGCCTTTTTGTCAGAGGAATGAAGTTGTTGCACCATAGTTCTTAATTTGACGGTGATATTTTCTTATGTAAAGAGATGAAACAGCACAGGCTGCGGGCTTCTTTTGCATCTCTCGTTAATAATGGATGGATGACTCTCCCATCTACTCTCCCCACACGTTGCTGAGTCCTCCTATCAGTTACCTTTCAGCTGCCGAACCAAGATGCTCTTAGTACGGCTCTCTTAAGAGGTGGTAAGGGTTCTGAGGATGGGCATCTTTGGCTGAGTATGTGTGGCGTTAAGCACGCCAGAGAGATCCTCATTGATGTAGATTGCAAAAAATTGTGAGCCCCCTCCATTTTTTTCCCTCCAAAGCTGGCTCATTAGTTTTGTAATAYATCCAAGTCGGTGCAGCTTATTCTGTATGTGTCTTCCATAGGGTTGGGCATAATGGCATCGTGTGCAATTAATCGTCAGACAAACATTAATTGGTTATTTTTTTTGGAACTTGACGATTAATACGATTAACGCCACCAGGCAGAGTCCGCTCCTCTACGCTTCAAAAATGACAAACATTAAAAAGAAAGTTGTGTAATTTATTTAGCTATCAACACAATTTAGAATTTGATATACTGTATAGCTTGAAGTCTGTAATTTTGACACAATTTGGAACTTTGGAGCAGATTTTAATGAAGAGCAAATCTTTCCCACTAAATTGGTCATGTGACCAGGACATAAGGGTGTCCAGGGACTCCAGGGGGATTAATCATCAAATTAATCGTTATCGGCTAAATACMCCAATTAATCGTGATTMATTTATTTGCCAATATTGCCCAACCCTAGTCTTCCTCTGGCTTCATGAAAAAATTGTGGTCACCCGTAAAAGTGCTTATGAAGTTTGCGAAATTAACTTACTTTGGCAGGTTAGGACCTAATGGTGTCCGAAGGCATTGCCATAAGAAAACCAGAGATGTTCTTCTGGCTAAATGCCTGTTCATGTGACTCTCATGCTGCAGAGGTTATGAGACCATGCAGCTGGCAAATACTTAACGTGAAAGTTCAATTCTCCCTACGCAAAGAGGTAGAAAATAGGGAGACATGAAGGAAACAAACAAACAAGCATGCAAATGAAAATTATCAACCTCATTTTTATTTATAATTAGTTAGGGCTGCAACTAACAATTATTTTAATAATCTATTAATCTGTCAATTATTTTTTCGATTAATCGACCAAATCATTAAAACGCTTAGTTACATGAATATGAGTAGATATAAATTAATTTCATTCCTTCATAAATTAAGGATGCAAGTTATCGATTAATGAATTAATCTGAAGTTAATTAATAATACTAATTAATAATACTTTTTGCCYGAGGAGGAGGAGGAGGAGGAAACAAATGGTGGATTTAGGTCCGCCCCCCCCCCCCACGCGTTTCCTCCTCGCGATGCGGCTCGCATCAAATCAGACCGTCTTTTTAAAAAAAATAAATGTGGTATATACTTTTTATCCTATCTTCGAATCTACTTGGCCTAAGAACACAATTTAAAAACTGATTTAAAATTCAAAGTCTCTATTTTTCACTGGAGGGTCTCAGAGAGGGTGGATCTTTACAGGTAGTTTTCTTTTCTTCCTAAACTTTATTTAGGTCAGCCATCATTGACAACGCTCTGCGTGTGACGTAAACGGCTCCGCGACATGGCGAGGGACGCATAAATCGCGCGACACAACAAATCGATAATGAAATTTGTTGCCTACGCTTTTATTTTATCGATTAGTTGTTGCAGYCCTATATTTAATTGATTTATTGCTTGTCACAACAGGCCTAGGTGACAGTCATCTTGTGCTCGGCCACTTCTGAGGGATTTGTTGTCAGAGTACGTCCCTGCCTGTGCAGGCTTGGCATGCAGGATTAGCTGATGAAGTATGTTTTGAGGGGAGGAAACAGAGCGAGGACAGTTAGAGACGGACGGGATGGATGTGGAGAGGAAAGTATTGAGAGGCATCAAAGAGTGAAGTGTTTTCAGCAGCTCAGCACTGATCCTGGTAAAACCTGGTGAGCGTGTGGTCCCACGAGTGGSAGTTTAAAAGAGCGACGATGAAGAGAGCAGTCCTCAGCAAAGTCCAATCAGCTGCACTTGATCCGGTCTCAATTAAGGCATTTCTCTCCTTCGTTCTTTCTCCTCCTCCGCCGCCTCCGCCTTTCTTTTTCACCCTGCACACACACACACACACACACACGCACACACACCATCACTGCCCGCCCTCGATGGTTTTGCTTGTTAGAGATCCGAGCAGCTTTTCTACAGCCTGGACACACAGGACTTTTTTGCTGACACACACGCACTCACCAGATTTCCCATTTAGATTTCTCTCACACACCGAGGTGCTTACCTTCCTAACATGCGCACCGACTCCCTTCTTCCTGCCTTACCCACATAGTTTCGACATCTATGTGCTCCTTTTGACTCCTCGAGGATTTTGCTGGATAAATGCAGTGTTTTTGTTTTGCTGCGGTTCGTGTGTGTGAAATATATGAAACGATGTTACGATTTTGCTTCTCTTGCGATGCTACAGAGGAAAGCCTTTTGAAACCGTACTTATGAACACACAGCTGACTGACTTTAAAAGGGATCTACTGCATCAAACCTGCATCTTTTTTTTGGGGGGCTGTTGTGTTCCGACTTTTATCCTGTATGGATTTGCGTCAGCTTTATTTGCTGTTGCCGTATTTTTTTTTTGTTTTCCACCTCCTCTGTCAGGTCTGTGCCCCATTTTGTCCCTGACCAACATCAGATACCTGCTTTGACCCGTCTGCTTCCTGCAGGCTCTGAGAAATAAGAGAAAGCTCTGGAGGATGCCTGGCTCAGCTTCTCCCTGGGGTTTCTTTGCTTCCTGTCTTCATCCTGTTTACTTCATTACCTCATCTGTCTCTTTGCAATCCGTGTTTTTGATCTTTCTCTTCAGGTAATTTAGTTATTTTTCAGCTCCTTGTCTTATACCTCCTCGTTTATCTMTATCGTCATTCCTCTTGACCCTTTTCTCTCCTGCGTTGGCCACTTTTTTCTCCCCCTGCTTCACTATGCTCCATTTCTCTGCGCCCATCTCTGCCCTACATTCTTGTTTCTTTTTCTGCTTTCTGTAATTTGTTTCCCCATCTCATTTGGACTATACATTGTTGATATTGCTTATCCAAGGAAACTTGTCAGTGTCACTTTATAACCTGGAGATTTGTCAATGCCAAGCTCAGTTAACTAACATTTATAGCCGTGTAAAAGAGAGTCCATCCATAAATTTAGACCGTTAACWTTGTGCCGATGACCCGAATTTGAGGATTTTTAAGACCACAGGACGTTCTAATGGGAAATCTATCAGCTGCAGGAGACAACTATAGTATCTGATCAGAAAACCTCCACCCTACTGGAGCATCCTTCCAGCAAATTATCTCTATCCTCTGAGACTCTTGACTCCCTGAGGTGAAGGAGCTAAAAAAAGGAAAGTACCTGACAGAAAATCTTTACGTATCACATTACAGAATGGAATATGTGTTTTAAAAGCCATGACAAACTTTTAATGGATTATTTGCTACAAGTTACTTCAAGTCATGAAACATCTCGTTGAGCCGAAGAGGACCACGGGAAAGTCCTAATATCTTTTTTTTATTTGGTTACCAAAGGATTTTCCTTCAAATTTGAGCTGAATAAATTGAGCTTTCTGACTTCTGTGAAAATGAGATCTTTTATGTGATTCTTACTCAAAGGTAAACATGTTTTAATTTTTTTGTGTCAGCTGGAAGCTGCAGTGACTCCAACGCCACAGGCAGAAACAAACGGTTTTTCCTGCACATTCTGTGTCACCAGATTCTGGACTACTATTTCACGCCATTTAAGTTTTCCTACTGACTTCATTTGTTTTCTTAAAGTTAGCTACAATCCTGGAACTTCTGATAGAATACAATGGATAAACCTGTGCCATATTGCAATCCAGTGTCTTGTACGGCAGCCATCATTTTCCAACTTTTTGGGAACATTTTTGCTCATCCAGATTTATTCTTCCAGGAGTTTTTTGTACGGTTGTGAAAAGGCACAGTAAGAAGTGTTYCTAGTTTTTGGCTCTATGCTATTTTTGGGGCCCAGCAGTTTTGGCTGGGCCCTGTGGTCCAACCTGGAACTCTTCCCCATCCAGAAAAGATGGAGAACAGTGGCTGCATCCCTCTCTGCTGGAGCAAAGGGGCCTGCATCTATGCACAACACCCCCTACCAAGTATGTATGCAAAACAGTCACAATCAGTGCAAAGTGTATGCTTGTCATTTTGGGCTGCAATAATGGCAACTTGTGCCAAATTTGATGCAACTCCCATCTTTTTTTTGTTTGTGTGTGTGTGTGTGTGTGTGTGTGTGTGTGTGTGTGTGTGTGNGTGTGTGTGTGTGTGTGTGTGTGTGTGTGTGT